TTTTTTTTTGGTTTTTCTCCGGTACCAGGAACTGAACTCACGACCTTGCGCTTGCCAGGCAAGCGCTTTTGCCACTGAGCTAAATCCCCAGCCCCTGCCTCTCATTTTCAAAAACCCATATCAGGAGTGGTTTGGGCTTTTGCCCCCACCCCCACTCTGATTTCCATAAGAAAACCTACAATTATTTTATATGAATAGTTAATGTTTATTCCACTTTACCTAAAGTACTGCATACATGCAGCTTCTGATCAAGCCCCCTAATTACTCTGCTTTTAGCTAGAATGGTATCCTAACTTCTATAAAGATGCCAAAGTTGACTCTTTAATTATTAAAAAGATCTCTTGGGCAGGAGTGAGACAGTGGTGAAAGATAAAGCTGTACAGGAGGATAATATCCAGTTTGAGAAGATCTTGTGTGTTCATGAAGAGCCTTGAGCTTTGTCCTGAGGTGAGAACTTGTGAAAAGTTCTTGATGCTTCAGGAGGGGGGAGGATGAGAGATGGATCCATGTACAAAGAGGCTATTTGGCAATAGTTAGGAAAGATACCTAGAAATAAGGAAAGCACCCAGGAAACTTAAAGTCATCCAGCAGAAGGTGATGAGACGCTGGGTAAATGTAATAAAATTGGGGTGGAAAAAGAACACACAAGAAAACATTAGTTTAAAAAAAACAAGAGGACTTCTCGTAGGTGACAATTAGATTTAGTTATCATTACTGCTATGATTTACTTAGACATACTATGATGTCAAAACTACCAATTAAAAAATCCTACAACTATGCTTATCATTTTCCATAGACATCTTGTTTGTGTGTTACACTAACTATGCGATGCATGACATAATTTCCCACACTAGGACAGGTGAAGTGTGATAGAAAGGACATACAGTTTGCAGCCAACCATAAGAAGGTTGGTTTCACTGCACGTTTAATATCTATGAACCCCTCTCAAACTGAGAAAGCACATTGTAATCTACGAGGTCCTAAACAGATATAGTGTAGAGCCTAAAGTCTCTTCAGGAAAAAATTTTGCCACCAATGCATAAATTGGTTGCCCTCTTATTAGAAGTTTGAATGTATTTTTAAAGTGAATTTAGTGATTTCAAATTCCAAACAGCATAGAAATATTGATATCAATAAGTACTAATGTTTTAATGCCTATGCTCTACAAAAATTAAAAAGTAAGTATTACTTACATTATAAATCTTCTCCTCTTTTTAGTCACATTTTCAAAAAATATTTCATTTTGGTTTAGCAAGTTCACCCAGGTTTGTCTTTTTCTTTGAAAACAGAAAAGTTTTGTTAACGTCAAGTCTATTTCTGAAGCTTAGGAGATTCCTGATACTAGTAGATCTATTCAAGCATATAAGATGAATACTGCTGAATTTTACTTTGGCGTTCCATATTTGGGTCTATCTGGAACCAGGAATGACAAAGATGTGTTAAATACATGGTTAATAGTAAATTTTGATGAAGATAAAAGTACTCATTTATGGCTTTTGACAGTCCTTATATTTTATACTTTATTGGGTTCTATGAAGGTAAGTGATGAGTACAAAACTGGAAAAGCTACAAATGCTGGGCTGGGGATATAACTCAGTGGCGTAAGTGCCTGCCTGGCAAGCACAAGGTCCTGAGTTTGATTCCTGGCACACACACAAAAAAAAATGCACACATACATGCACTGATGCTCTTAGCCATCAGTGTGAATTATATAAGTAGGCTTTCCTAATATGCATGATGGGAAATTTATAGACATACAACTTAGTGGTCAAGTACCATTCAATCTGTCTCTCACACCCAAAAACACATATAGACATGAAATACGTACACACACATAAGAAATTTGCACCCCAATAGAAAGACCTAATTTCTACCCAATAAAATATTTAAAACTTTTTAAAACAGCAGGTTTCCCCTGGGTTTAGATTTAAAAGAAGTCTGAAAAATATTTAAACTTGTTTGCAGCATGCATAGCAATAGTGGACCTCCGCCAGCAAAGGGCTTTATCACAGTACAAATGGGGTTTCAAGTGTTTGTTTCCAGGCAGGTTCTCGCAGCCCAGGCACTTCCCAGCTTCATTGTCCCTTTGTTCTAGCGGATGTACAAAGGGTTGACTGTTTTGTTTTCTGGCTCAGAGAGATTAGATAAAGTCTGCATTTTTGAACTTCACCCTTTAGACATGCAAACTTTAAAAATTAATTCTCATTAGGTCATATTTCGCAGACTGTGTATGTTCAGATTACATTGATCATATTATTTTCTTTAACCTTCATCTAACTTGATAGGGAATGGCAATGACAGGATTCATCCCTTTTGGGCTATCACTGGAAACTACTGTCTTTCTCATCCTTGTTCTTAACATGCCACTCCAGCAAAAATGCATCTTCTCAGTTTGGGTACCACAATTCTTAAGACTGATTGGCTGTTAGAATCTCATGATAGAAAAATGCCTTGTTCTTGCCAGGCAGCAAGAAAACTTCTGAGAGAGGAAATTATCTCTTTCCTTTTATTATGACATCGTTAATTATAAGCTTTTATACAGGACAGAAAATTTAAATACTACTGACCCTCATAAGGAACACTAGCTTTTTCTCAAGAACCTATAAATAAGAATCATCTTGGAGATTTTTTTTTTTTTTTTTTTTTTTTTTTTTTTTTTTTATATAAGTCCTTTGTCTGAAGGACAACTGGTTAAAATTTTTTTGGTTTTTCTCCGGTACCGGGAACCGAACTCACGACCTTGCGCTTGCCAAGCAGGCGCTTTTGCCACTGAGCTAAATCCCCAGCCCCATCTTGGAGATTTTTAATGTTATCTTAAAGGTCAGAATGTTAGTTCTAAGATTTTACTAAGGCTTTACTATGATGGGAGCAATTAAGGCCAAGTTTAGTTTCAAAACAATTTTTGTTATACTTTTGTCTGTATTTTATCAGTGATTCAGAGGACAATGTTTTTTATAATCAAATAGAAATAAATATATATTACTGAGTGCCCATTACATGCCAGTTAAGAGCTCCTCTATGTCCTATTAATTCTCAAAACCCTCTTGCAATGTAGGTATTATATTTTTATACCCTCCAGATGGATAAGAAAATAAAGACTTAGGTGGGTTAAGTGACAAGCTCAAAGTCTCATGACTGGTAAGTGAGGGAGCTGAGATTTGACTTTAGTTCTGTCTGATTCGCAAGCCCATGCTCTCAAATGGCACTGTCCTCTGGCACTACTTTCTACTGCTGACAGGGTAATAACAATAGGAATAACTAATATTGAGCACAGGCTATGGCCACACACTGTTCTAAGTGCTTTTTTATAATATTTTATCTAAAATCTTCATAACAACTCTACTAAAAACATAGTATTATTATTAGCATTGCGTAGATAAGATGCCTGGAGCTCAGAGATGCTCATAAACTGCCCAATTGCACAGCTACAGAGTTGGAGAGCCAGATTCACGCCTAGACCATCAGACTATAGCCTGTCTCCCTCAGGTGAACCCAAGGCTGTGCCATGGTGTGACCCACACAACCTCGCCTCCCAAGCTCTTCTGTGCCTGAGACTCTCTGTGTTAATTAATGCCTCAACCTGCTTGTGAGCTAACATTTGTATTATTATTAATTTTATTGATATTATAAAATGTTATATTTAATTTTTGTAGAATGATGTACTTACATAAATCAGAGCTTAAAACACAAGAACATTAGATTTTTAAGCCTTTATTAAAACTATGGCGTCAGTTGTCTGCCCACATAGTCTTATAAGTTGTATATCCACAAATGCCTTTTGAATATTATGCAGGGTTATCTTATTTATTGTTGAATTTATATTACTCTTAAGTTAACATCTTCAAACTTATACTTCTCTAATCGGGTCTAGAATGCCTGATGTTATTTTGTCAGATAAATACATTCTATTAGGAAGTGGAAATGAACTGAGGTCGTATAGTCATGCCACTAAAACAGATGATTTGACCTTAAAAATTGGTCTTCAATGTCTTGATCCCACTATCTAGAGCAAGAACCATGTAGGAGTTCTGAAAAATTCTCATATGTGGAAGTCTCTCAGTAGTCTTTATGGCATTCAGATAGGGAAAGGCTTATTTCTCCAGTTCTACTTTTCACTTTATCAAAAGTATGGCTGCCAATAAATACCACGGCCCAGTAAATACCATTGATTAGTTTCTAATCTAGCAGTATACTCTCCATCTATTTAGAGTTCAACAGTGAAGAATCAACACAGGCAAAGCAGTATTCTTCAACTGCCTGTGACTTTAGGAGTTGAAATGAACATCTGATGTAAAACTCTATCATTACCTGCTCTGGGGACTGCACTGTGCTCCAGGACTAAGATTTTAAAATTCTAGGGATATAGAGAAACCCACCTAGCTGCTAGGAGAATCCATTTTGGTAAGCCAACAAACCTACCTTAAGGTAATAATCAGACTTGTATCTTTTCCAATTGTTTAACAGCTAAAAGCCATCCAAAGTTACATATGCATGACACCAACAATCAACAACTCAGGGAAAAGTGCGGTGTAAAATCCGAATTATTTCCTAATATCTGTATTTTCGGTTCAAATCATCAGTATTTATCAAGGCACACCTTTGGTGTTTGTCAGTGTTTGAAGTTCGCTAAATGTGCAAGCCGAAGAAAATACAAACACATGAATTTTCAAAGTCCAAGCTACCTTAAATAAAGTTTTATTAGAAAAAGCAATTCACATGACTGGTAGCTAAGGTTTTTGTTTTGTTTTTGTTTTTATAAAATGGTAGGTTTGGAGGTGAAGCAAAATGTTAATTTTTCTGGGCGTGGATTCTTTAAGTTCTGAAAGGAAATGAGTTAGGATTGTAGCAACATAAGCATTTATCTGCAAAGGCCTTCAATCTATGTTCTCTTCCTTGGAACTTGCTTTGCAGATCCTTTACCTCCTACTACATTTGAGGTCAAGAAAGAGACAGTAACTTCAACCAGCTTGCAGGTTTGGTGGACTCATTCTCCTGGAAAAGTCACTTGGTATGAGTTGCAGATATCTGATGATAATAACAAAAAGATACAAAGGGTCCAAAGTCAAGAAAGTACTTCATGGAATGAATACACTTTTTTAAACCTCACTGCTGGCCACAATTATAATATTGCCATCACAGCTGTTTCTGGAAATAAAAGTTCTTCTACAATTTACACCAATGCATCAACCGGTAAGACCTGTGTTGTCTATAGTTAGTGATCTGTGACACCTTTGAAGTCACATGTTACTCAGGAATGGAAGTAAGAATGTCCCCAGACTATAGATAAATAAACTCACTAACGTCTTAAAAGGCAGTTGTGTGATACATATAAAAGACCAGACTGACACAGGGTTGGGGCTGTGCTGCTAACTTGTTCAGTAATTTTGAACAAGTCCTGAGACTTCACTGGACCTAGAGTTTTTTCCGGTTTGAAGTAGATGCCCCCTAACAGCATTTCTAATTCAAACCCTGGAAAACAAGATTTTGTGCCTCATTTTTCATGTTTGTGCCATAAAACTTATTTCATAAATGTTTTCCTCTTTTGTGCATTCTTCTCATAACACCAAGTCATGATGTTTTCTAAATATTCCAAACAAACAAGTCTTTTCTCCCTTGATGTGATGAAAAATAAGCCATCTAATACACTCATCTGTCACCACGATATCCACAACACATTCCTATCTCCTTCCCCCAAAATATATCTTTCACATTGTTTGTTTTTCCCTCTTTTTCTCTCTTGTTTTAGCTACCTCTCTTTCCATCTTTCATCTCTTACAGTTCTTTTCTTTGTTTTTTCTATTTATTGCAATGCCCTGTTGTACCACATTGGGGACAACTAAGAGGAAACCCACTAAGAGAAGGAAAGACAGGTAAACTGACACAGCTGTAGCTGTGACTTGTGAAAAGATCACTAAGATTCGGTGAAATACGAAGAGTGCTGTTACTCATTATTACTATTAAACAAGTTAAGATCTCCAGAGAAACATCAGTGAGTTGTGACTTTTAACTGAACATGTCTATGTCTCCGGTGAGGAATTAATGAATAACATTTGGACATGCATTTTATCCCACTAGTGCCTTCTCCAGTAGAAGATATTGACGCTTCCACAAAAACTAATTCTCTTCTGGTTTCCTGGTCCCATGGTGCTGGGAATGTGGAACAATACAGGCTGACGTTAATAGATAAAGATACCCTAGTTCACGACACTATTGTGGACAAACATGATACTTCCTATACTTTCCGTGGGCTGATCCCTGGCCACCTCTACAACCTCACTATTGTGACCATGGCTGCAGGATTGCAAAATTACAGATGGAAACAAGTCAGAACAGGTAAGTTACTCCACTCTCACTGAACAAAAAGAATAATGCTCAAGTCAAGTGTGAATCAAATTTATTAAGTTGTTGGAATACTGGTAGGACAAACTGAAATTTGTAGAAGTTATAGAAAGCCCATATATATCCTCATTTCTCTGCAGGAAAGGCAGGATTCCATTTTATTCTAGAGTTTATGCTAGCCCTTGGCAACATTTTGAAGTAGACAAAGTTAATTGCTGATATGGTCCCATCTTCTCTTCTTTAGTACACCTTTCTCCTTGCTAAAGAGCTCTACTTCCTTCTCTTAAACATCACTCACAGTGAACAAGGATCATTTTTCTAGGTGCTGTATGTAGACCTACTCTGTGCGACAGCCATTTCCAAAACCCTCTATCCAAAAAACATATCCTAGGACCCAATAACAAAATACCTATTATCTCAGCCTAAACTAAACTAATAAAACAATATTCTAGGTGTTAATGCATAATTCATACAGATAGTAATTCATTCAGCCAATATTTATTGAGTGTAAGCTATATTGTAGGAATTGCTGATATAACAACTTTCAAAATAGACAAATTTTTGCCCTCATTAATCTTACATTCTAGTGGATACAAATGTTTCTAGTAGGTCTGCTGTGTTAATGAATCCACTTTCTTAATAAGTTATCTAATTTTAAGATAAATTCTAAAATATGTGGTACTGGACCAGGGGTATAGCTCAATGGAACAGCACCTGCCTAGCAAGTGCAAGATCCTGAGTTCAATTCCCAGTACCAAAAAAGAAGAAAAGACACTGTTTAAAATATGTGGTACCTAAGAGATTACTCTAGTGGAAAGTCTTAAACAGTAAGAGGCTGATGGGAAAGATATTGGAGCTAACTGTACATTTACGTTATCTTTTATAACATACCTCAAAGATACACAGAAAATGTACATGTAATCTTAAGAATTATTACAGGTACCATGACCAGTTTACACTTCCAACTGTCCTAAGCAAAGTCACTGTGCTTAACCATTCTTTAAATGAGACCTTATTAATTTATATTATGCCATCAGTGAGACCCAAATTATAACATGTGTAAGAGGTAGAAAAAATATTCATCAATATATCTCCTTTGTCACCATTTTTCCTTTGATGAAACTAAAACAACTCTTTCAATTTATCATGACTTAATGTAAAAAGAAAATATTTCAGTATGCAAAATTCATAAATCTATTATGTTGTTATTATACATATGTATAACATATCTATATACCTTATAAGATGAGAAAACATTTTGACAGACCTCTGTACATTCTACCTAAAGAATTTCTGAATTAGAAAGGACCATTTTAAGTCTTCCAAACAAGCTTCATTTGGCATTAAGGAACACTAGGAGCAGTGAGATAGAGTTGCCGAGAGTCCTGTAGAGAGCTGGCCAAGTCCCAGGCAGAATTCAGGCTCCTGACTGCCAGGACTGTGCTCTTGCCATGTGCCAGACGGCCTTCTTTAGCTTTATAATACTATTTTTGTAGTTCTATGGTATTATTTTTGTCTTTCAAGGTGGTTATTTTCTTTAGTTGAATGAGTAGTTCTTACAGGAATTAAAATATAGGTCAAAATTTAGCCATGGGACTGGAGAGAAACCCTGAGTGAAATCTTTTTTCCATTCTTTGCTAATTAGCCCCCATGGAAGTCTCAAATCTGAAAGTGACAAATGATGGCAGTTTGACCTCTCTAAAAGTCAAGTGGCAAAGACCTCCTGGAAATATAGATGCCTACAACATTACCCTGTCTTACCAAGGAATCATCAAAGAATCCAGAATATTAGCACCTCAGGTTACTGAAACTCACTTTAAAGACTTAGCCCCTGGACGACTTTATCAAGTTGTCATCAGCTGTATCTCTGGTGAACTGTCAGCTCAGAAGATGGCAGTAGGCAGAACAGGTAAGTCTTGGGCTCCAGAATACTCTCTGACTTCTCTGATCCATCCTAGAATAGGATGGAATGGATAGAAGAAAAACTCCCTCTTTATAGTACTTGAGAAGTAGTCCATTTGACAGGGTATGTCTGTGGGCCAGGACCCAGTACACACAGTAAGTAAAGTAGAGGGTTAATTGGATTTAATTAAGTTATTTAAGAAAATATACATGGATTTCTGAATGATCTGCATATTGTCTCTGGCCCATACTTTTCAAAGTCACATGACTTAAGTAGCATAAACACATGAGAATTGACATTAATAAAGAAAATATTTCTGATCTATTCTTATAATGAAGACAAGTCAGCACCTAACCAGGCTTTCTATAAAGCATTTCATTAATTTATGTCACCAAATGTTTATCCAGTGCCTGGTAAGAATCAGGTACTTGCCAAGCATGGTGGTGCATGCCTGTAATCCCAGCACTCAGGAGGCTGAGGCAGGAGGATTGTCACAAGTTTGAGGCCAGCCTGGGCTACATAGTGAGTTCAGGGGCAGCCTCAACTATACAGTGAGACCCTGTCTCAAAAAACAAACAAAATGAAAACAAGAATCAATTACTGTATGATGAGCTTTAAGCACTGTTAAAATGGGTAAGACATGCTATTACATTTAAGGCAACGTAAAGGTTCTGCAAAGTACGCCCTATGGCTAAACTGGTTGGTGGCTTTTTTGTATGCCCTAAACTGAGTAGTTTTTATGTCTTTAAAGAGTTGTAAAAACAAGGAAAACTACCAAAAATATATGAAATACAGATCACATGTGGCCTGCAAAGCCTGAAATATTTACCATTCAGGTTTTACAGAAAAAATTTTCAGACCCTTGCCTAAAAGAGGTTACATTTTTAATTTTACAGATGTAGAACACATGCAAAAAAAACCTTAAAAATAATGCCTCCTGATAATGCTGGTGTTGCTAGTCTGTCTGTCTGTCTGTCTGTCAGGCACTGACTGAACACTTTACACCCATTATTTCATGTATTTCTCATGACCAAACTATGACAGATGTTCTTTTGGGATGGCCATTTTACAGATAATTCAAGAGAGTCAAATAACTTCTTCTTAACTACCCAGCCAGTAAGTGGTGGAGCTATAATTTAAACCAAGCTATTTGATTACAGACCCTAATTTCTGTGGTATCAGAGATCTCAAGTAAGAACTTTACGGTTAAAAAGGAAAGAAAACCAAATTATCCTTCAAAAAATCAGTGAAAATTTGAAGGAAATGACCTTAAAGTGATATACAAAAGTGTTAACTTCTTGACAAACAAAGGTAGGGAGGAGGGAGGTGTATTTGAAACAGAAAGAATAAAATAAGCAAAGGCACAGGTATAGAGAGCCCAGGAGATCAACAGGCGTACAGAACATATGAGTGGAAGCCAACACTGGAAGCGGTAAGGAAGGAGGGAGGGTTTCAGAGAGTGATCAGGGTCCGAACTTGAAGAGTCACAAATGCAAGTGAGGGATTTGTTTTATCCTGTAGTTTTTCCAGGAGACTTTCAATGTTTATAAGCAAAAGAATAAAACAACCAGAGTTACACTGCAAGAAGACGGTTCTTTTCAATTGGAAAAGACAGAATGTTTCATGACCACAATATCCAAATCTCTTCCAAAAGATGCCACATCTATCAACATCACCACCACTAGAAGCAACATCAGCATTGTCTCTAGGGCTGCTGTGCAATTTATAAAAGCCAACATTTACATCACTGGATTATTAACACCGTTACAGAAGCGTGTGTACCAGTTATGTCACTAAAATGATTTTAGCACACTTTCTTGAGTGTCAAAGTCTCCAAAATGAAAGAGGAATACTCATCCTCCACAGACACCAGGAGGGGATAGAGCTGTTTTGAATCGCAGACATTGTGTCTCCTATTTACTGTTGCCCAAGAAAACCAGTTAAGTATTCTTACTTGTGGTTTTTAACACCTTCTTGACGTGATTTCGCTTTTCAGTTCCAGACAAAGTTGGGAACCTTGAGGCAAAAAGCAGTGGTTGGATGAGTTCCCTTGTAGTGAGCTGGTCTCCCCCTGCTGGAGACTGGGAGCAGTACCGCGTCGTGCTCCTCAACGGGACTTCAGTACTGCTCAACGCCACTGTGGGAAAGGAGAAAACACGGCACGTCCTGGATGATGTGGGGCTCATCCCGGGAAGACAGTATGAGGTACAAGTCACTGTGGAGAGTGGAAATCTGAAGAATACTGAGCGTTGCCACGGCAGAACAGGTGCGCAGATGTGAGGGTATTAGTGCCCGATGGAACTTTGTTTCCTCTCCTAGTAACCCAGTTAACCACCAATGTCATACTCTACTGCTCCCTGAATTGGAGATATTACAGACGCGCAGGATAACATAGGGCTTCTGATATTTCATAGTGTTAAATTAGAGCAACAGAAGTCCCTTCAACTGATAATGCCACTACTTCATAAAAGAACAATATTCTCAATGCCAAAAGACTACTATCTGAGAATAAAGATGAACCCTCCCTCCAGAAGAACCTTCACTGGTGATCCCATGTGGGTGTTTCAGGTACCAAGGAAGGGTGATAAAAGTGAGTAGGAATCTGCTTCTATATTAGGGAAAGGGAGAGCAAGCACACTGAACCATGGATCTTGGTATTCTTGCTGTCTCCATCGCAATCTGAGTAACTCCTCTGAGCCTGTTTTCTCAGTTTTCAAATAAGAGACTTCCAAATCCAACAATTCTGTGAGAATCCAAGTGATCTGAAGTATTCTGTACTTGGAGAGAAATTCAGATATCTTGTCTCTTAGTCTTGTGTCATAATAAGGAAATAACTACATTCCTTCAGTATTCTTGAGAGAAGAATGTCAAATAAAATGATCAGAATACCCCCTTAGTTTACCAATTGTAATTATTACAAATTTTTCAGTAATCTCTGCGTCTTCTAAATTTTTTTACCTATTGGGGAGTGATCAAAGATCTATATAAGCTTAAACGAAGCTACTTTTAGTATTCACAGGACAGGCATGTTTGTCCTCTCTAATATATTGTCATTCATTTCAAATAATTTGGAAATGTAAGATCTAGGCACAGTGGGGAGATCCTTGCATTGGTGTAATTCTTAGTGCTTTTCTTAAGCTGCACTTGCAAATGATGAATAAAGTAACTTGAAGTAACCCTTGGTGTAAATAGTAATTTCCATAAACTGGAAAAAAAAAAGATGCAGAGTTCAATTAGGATAGAATTATAGAAAATTCCTTTGATGCAGAAATCACAATATAATTTTATGCACTTCTTTCTTTTGTAATTGGATTTTCCTGTTGGTTTGTGGGGCCAACACTTTCCTGTTACTTATATCTGCCAGAAATTGTAGTCATAAAATCTTTTAAAGAAGTAAAAATACTTTTAATTCTTTTGCCAAGAGGTGTTCTTAACCAGATGCTATTATTACCAGCCACCTTTCTCCTTTATGACAAAATAGCATTTCTTCCCCAGAAATAAGGAAAAGAAACATTTGTTCTTTCCAAGTTATGGAGGATAACAAACACTCCTCACTTTAGCAAAACACTCAAACATAGACTTTTTTATGCAGTTGTGGACGGCAGGGTTGTGGTAAATGTTTTTATGTCCCAGAATACACAGGACAAGGTAAACTCTAATGAAGTGATTTGTGATCAAAAATAAATGACTTTACAGCAAAGTATTTTCCAACTGTATTCTTTTTGATCTCTATTTATGGTTATATTCATAAACCAAGTTTTTGTGATAGATCCCCCTCCTTTTAATACTCAGAAGTATTTAAAAAAGAAATATTGAACTGGGACACTCCTGAGAATGGGAAAGAATAGCTCTCTAAAGAGTAGTCTAGGATGTGTCCAGGGCAATCAATATCCAAGTCTCCATTGCTTTTTCCTCAGTTCCCCTGGCTGTCCTCCACCTTCGGGTCAAACATGCCAATGAAAGCTCACTGGGCATCATGTGGCAGACGCCTGTAGCAGAGTGGGAGAAATACATCATTTCCCTGGCTGACAGAGACCTCCTGCTCATTCACAAGTCCCTCTCCAAAGATGCCAAAGAATTCACTTTCACTGACCTGGTACCCGGACGAAAATACACAGCTACAGTCACCAGCATCAGTGGAGACTTGAAAAATTCTTCTTCAATAAAAGGAAAAACAGGTAATAATCTTTATGAATTTTAAATTTTATAGGGTTCTATCAGCTGAATTATTTAACATGCAATTGCAGGTGTTGATTGCATACCTATTATGTACTTCACATTGTTTTGTGTATCCTTTCTATTGTATTTTCTGTTTACCAAGTTCAGCTGTTTATCTTCACCAATTCCTTCTTTTTATCTTGCTTGGGTTTGTTGTGTTAAGACTGAGTAGAGAATAAGCAGCCCCCTCCCCCCCCAGCAGTTTCATTACAAAAGAGAGCAGAGAAATAGCACAGCATGGAGAAGGAGCATGGTTGAAAGGAGGATCATTATTCTTTAGGCACAGAAGACAGCATGTTTTATGCTGAAGAGAATGATCTAGAAGAGAGACAGATGATGATGTAAAGAGAGGGGAGACTCCTGCTGTCGTTCTGCACGTAGTGAGTGGTACTGGGGTTGAGAGTGCATGACGTTGGCTTTAGAAAGGCGCATGAGTAACGTGAATTCAGTGTTGGCTGGGGAAGAAAGTACTTGGGTGCAGATACCAGCTGGTGGGTAGATGTACTGTTGAGCTGTTATTCTACAGCTACTCTCATTTTCTCAGTGAAATAGGGAACAGTGTCCTCAACAGCACTCCTTTCCAATTTATATGCTATTGGTAACCTGTATTTCCCTCTCCTTTTTGAACTGCACAAAAAATCATAATTGTTTTATATAGAATATAATAATTGCTTTAGCCTCTTAGAGTTGTCTACCAATTCACCACTTTCCCCTCATATTTTCTTTCTGTATCCCAGGAGTTACATATTATATTATTTTCCTTCATCCTGAAGGGTATTCTTCAAGATTATTTACAAGAGTTCTTAGGGACAAACTCTCACCACTTTAACTTTTCTGAGCATGTTTTTATATAGCTCTCAGTCATGCGGGGTATTTTCTTATGTTTTGCTGTAATGCTGAAAGTTATGTTCTCTCAGGGTATTGAACGTATTATTTGGTTTTTCAAGACTTTTTAATTGTTGTTGCTGTTACTACTGATGTGGTTGTGGTTGTTGTTGTTATTGTTGTTTGAGACAGGGTCTCCCTATGTATTTCAAGCTGGCCTTGAGCTTACTTTGTAGCCCAGGCTGGTCTCAAACTCACAACTCATTCCTTCCCTTCTGCCCTTAAGCAAACCCACTCTTGCCTCAGCCTCCTGAGTACTAGAATTACGCGTGTGTGCCACCACACTGTTGTTATTGAAAAGTCAGTTGTCAATCTAATCCCTATTTTACTATGAGAAATCTGTTTAATATGACTATTTTTAAAGTCTGCTCTTTACCTTTGATGTTCTTTTGTTTCATGATAGTGATCTACATATACAGATATTTTTGTTTATCCTGCTGTTTTCAGATTAGTATCATTTCTCAATCTTGGCAGCCCTCAGGTATTAACTCTCCAATATTGTCACTTGCCTCTCCTCCGTTCCCTTTCTATCCTTTCTGCTATTCCAGAACACATATTGTGCACACACAGCCACATACAAATGCACAAATGCACACGCTCCATAGTTTCCATGTATTTGGTCTTTGGACTGTAGTCTAGATAATCTCCTCAGCTCTTTGCTTCAGCTCATTAATTCTTTCTATGACTTTGTCTAATCTGCTATTAAACCTACCCATTAAGTTTTAAATTGTAATTGCTGTGCTTCTCATGTCTTGTTTTGAAATCCTGTATTGTTTTTATTGTTTTCACGTGTTTTGTTTTTGTCTTTGTTGTTGTTATTTTGTTATTTTTTCCTCTTTAAAATATAAATAAATAAATAAATATCCTCTTTTGTTCTCTTCCAAATCTATGTTGTGATCTTTTGCTCTGTAGTTGTATTTTCAGTCTTCTTTATTAATGTTGTAAATTAAAATTTTTGTTTTACATTCTGTCTGATCATGATATATCTGAACTCTTCAGGAGTGAAGTCTTATACTCTTTTGATTTTGCTGCTTTTGCTCATGGAGTTTTATTCCTTAGACATTTGTGATTTTTTTTTTTCACTACAAGTTCATATCCCTTGGAATTTTATTCTATGAGAATTCTTTGAGGCCTTGTTTGAAGGTAGATTTCAAGGAGGTTTTTTTTTTTTTCACTTGATTGTTTCAAGTGCACAGGACCACTATCAACCAAGATCTACTTTAATGTAAATTGTCAACCTGAGGTTTTTTGAACACCAGATTTTATGAAGTCAAATTGTAAACACCTTGAAGTTATCCTAAAATTATGAATTCTCAAAGAAAATATTTTTCTCCACCCAGTGCTAGGAAGGCTGGGGGTGTGGTGTGGGGTAGGGAATAGAGACAAAATATTATTCCACTTATACTCGAAATGTAATCTTTCAGGATCCATTGTTATATAGTCACCTATAAGCTTCTTCAGGCTAAGGAAGTCCTACCTTTTTCATCCTATTTCTGAGGTCCTGAAATGCTATTAAATCAAAGCTTAAATTTATGTTTGAAAGACGTCCCTAAGGCAAATTTGCTTCAGTGATCCAGTTACCTCTCTTCCCCTTACTTTGCAGCCTCTGACAATTGCTTACATTTCTAATAACTCATTCATTACTTTTGTTTTTGTGCACGTGGGGGGTGGACAGTGAGGATGGAACCCAGAGGTGCTTTCCCTAAGATTGTTTTAGACCTAAGATTATTTTCATTATCCCCAATACCCTATATCTGGGTCATATAGTATGTGCATGTTCAACTTTTTAAGAAACTGTCAATCTGTTTCCCACACTGGTTTTACAATTTTATTTCATATATTTATTTATGTATTCATTTTTTGAGATGCTGCCCAGACTAATCTCAAACTCCTGGGTTCAAATCCCAATCAACAAAGTATGAGATGTCCAGTTTATCCACATCCTCGGCCGCACTTGGTATTGTCAGTTTGTTTTAAAATTAAGCTGTTACTATCAGTGTGTAGTGATATCTTGTGTAGTTTTAATTTATCTTTCCCTTATGTCTAGTGGATTTGAGAATGCTTTCATATGCATATTCACCATGTGTTTATCTTGTTTGGGAAAGTTCCTTTTCAAGTATTTTACCCATTTTCCTGTAGGTTGTTTTATTTTATTATTGAGCTTTGAGAGTGTTTTATGTTAGACATAGGTCTTATCTCAAAAATGGGAGTTAAAAATATTTCCTTTCAGTCTGTGGCTTGTTTTTTCATCTTATTAGTATATTTTGTTAAGTAGAAGCATATTTTGTTGAGCCCAGCATGTTGGCTCACACCTATAATCCCAGCACTCAGGAGGCTGAGACAGGAGGATTGTTGCAAGTTCGAGGTCAACCTGGGCTAAAAAGTGAGTTCAAGCCAGCCTGAATTGCATAGTGAGACCCTGTCTCAAAAAGCAAAAAAAAAAAAGAGTATATTTTGTTAAATAGAAGCTCTTTTATAAGTCACACTTTCAGTATCATACTTCAAAAACATCTATGCCTAGCATAGATAGATCATATGGCTTTGAATTCTCATGGAGGTCAGGACAGGAAAAAATTATATTAAATAAATCTTCAAAAGTAGCTGCCTTCATTATTTAAAATTTAAAATAAACACTATTAAGCATGCAGCACCTCATCTTGGATCCTAAATACTTTTGATTTCCCATATAAACAGCTTTTTCATAGTAGCGTCTCACTACAGGAGTATTCTCCATATGCCACAGGAAACAGAGCTGAGAGTTTATAGCTAAAATGACTAGAACTTTTTTTTTAGCTTGTTTCAAGTTGTTTCCATTTTTGACTCATATTTCTATATTTTCTTAAGGTGACTTTGTTCTGTCTTTTGTCTGCTGTGTTTCAGTGCCTGCTCAAGTGACTGACTTGCAGGTGACCAACCAAGGGATGACCAGCAGTCTGTTTGCTAGCTGGACAGAGGCACTGGGAGACACAGAATTCTACCAAGTCTTACTGATCCATGAAAACGTGGTCATCAAAAATGAAAGTGTCTCCAGTGAGACGAATAAATACAGCTTCCACTCTCTGAAAGCGGGCAGCCTCTACTCGGTGGTGGTGACGACAGTGAGTGGCGGGATCTCTTCCCGACAGGTGGTAGAGGAAGGAAGAACAGGTAAGGAGTAGAGACAGAAGGGTCTGTAACTTACAGAAAGTCGAATATGTGCAATTCTCTCACCCCAAGCAGAATTTTTAAAACATACTAAAAACAGACCTCTTTTCCTCCTAAAAGCCAAATTTTGATGCCATCCAGGTATTACACATGGCATGGAAATTGGCTGGTGTTTAAGAATGAGAGAGAATAAATACTGAATTTTGTAAACTTTTCAACAAACATTGATGCTTGAACTAATCATCTCATTTAGTTGATTTCTTTTGAAATGTGTCTGTCCCGATTAAGGTAAATAGAAAAAAAAAAAAAAAAGAAAGATCTTCCATTATCTCCATATTCTTGGTTTCAAGGCATAAAAAAGACATGATCTTTAATTTACATGGTCAAAAGTTGACATATGTAGAAAGAGTCTATTTTCCCTGGCTGGTCCAAAACTCCTGGGTTCAAGCCTCCCTCAGCCTTGAATCTCCTGCCTCAGCCTCCTGAGTAGCTAGGCCCACAGGGATATGCCACTGTTCCTGACTAAAAGTGACATATATTTTTATAAGCAGTAGTAAACAAATGTTTAATACTATATGCCACCTAAACAATCTTCCTGACTTAAAGTGTTCCCTGCCAAACAGGGCTAAGTAGAGAGAGAAATAAGTATCATTATGGTCATGTGTATCAGAGAGCTTTGGCACCAAAAGAGAAAATGTAATTTTCTACATGATACAAGGCAAGTACATAAATCTAAACATAATAACATATTATTTCATATAATACATAAAATTTATGTTCTAGTTTCTTGAGAAAAAATTACATAAACCAACTAGAAACTTTTATAATTATTGGTGAATATTCAATCAAGTCAATGACCTTGCTACTTAATTTTATATGATTATTATAAGTGGGATTTCAGGCTTCTCCTCCTTCTATATCTCACTGCTCAAATTCTGAGCATCAGTTGCAGGCATCATAGATTAGATAGATAGATAGATAGATAGATAGATAGATAGATAGATGCATACATACATACATACATGGACACATAGATAAATGGACAGACAGAATGGTTTTGGCATCATCTTTTGGTATAGCATATTTGGGGTGATGGGGCTAAGTTTAGAAATCAGAACAGATAAGAAGAGTTGAAAAAGGCCTTGCATCCATTCAGTGAGTTGCAGTTGTAGTAGTCAAGTTAGACTGATTTATCTGCTTACATAACTTGGCAGTTTGGGTATTCCTAATTTAATAATTCTATTGGTCAAGGAAAGTAGAAAGTCAGGGATCCAGGTGCCTACCACTTGACCCTTCCTCTAGGTTCTCAGAGCTCTCCTCATTCCTCTAAAAATAGAAGTGGAGATCAGGGATGGCGCAGATTACCAGGCTAGAAGCATCACTTCTATGCACATTCCACTAGCCAGAACTCAGTTACATGGCCATAGTTAGGTCATTTAACTGCAGTGGAGGCTGTGAAATCCAGTCTAGCTGTGTGTCAAGAGGAAAAGAAAGTGCTTTGTGAACAATGAGTCATGTTCTACCACACAAGCTAATTCCCATTTTAAAATATCACAGGGGACCTGGGGATATAACTCAGAAGTAGAGCACTTGCCTTGCAAGTGAGGCCCTGGGTTTTATTTACAGAACTGCCAAAAAAATTCAATAAGATGCCACAATAGCTGTCCAACTTATTGTGATATACTAAAGTAATACAGTGAAATAAGAATGTATTTGAAATAGATGGGATTTGTAATTTTTTTACCCACATTTTAAGTATAACAGAGGTCTAAATATTTTATTCATATTATGGTGGAAGTATTCAAAAAAAGGAAAATAAATTCTTTGAAGAATGATCACAAGTTTGTCGGGAAAGTACAAAATATGCATAAATATAAGCATGTAATTGCTTGTATCTGGTAATCTGAGCAACTGATTTGAAGACAACAATATGCAATGGAACAACCATTGGTGAATTCCTACTGTCTTGTGTAGTAAAACTCTGTATTATCTCTAATGTTTTATCTAATAATTACTTTTTTATTCTCTCTCATGGTTTGAACAGTCTCCCATTCTTGTTTTTTTTTCTTCTGGTACTGGGAATTGAACTCATGACCTCGCACTTGCCAGGCAGGTGCTGTGCAACTGAGCTAAATCCCCAGCCCCAATCTCCCATTCTTATATCTGGTAATCTGAGCAATGTAGTTGAAGGTAACAATATGTAATATAACAGCCACTGTTAATTTCTATCATTTTGTTTTGAAACCCTGTATCACTTTTAATGTGCTTGCTTTGTTTTGTCTATGTTTGTGATATTGGTATGCTGCTAGTGTCCTTTTTTTCCTTTAATACTCTCTTTAAAATAAAAAATAAGCATATGTTATTATATTCAAGCATTATGAAAAAATGGGATACTCTGCTGATGCATGATAACTAGGGATTTCAAAAAATATCTGTTTAAGTTGGCAACTTTAGTAATCACTGCCACTTTTTCAAATACTAAATATTGGTCAATATCAAAAAAAATTTGAAAGGTTTTCTTATATTTCATGTTTCCAAAGAGTTGAAACATATAAATACAAAGATGGTAAATATTTAAAACCAAAGATATTATATGTTTAACAAATCTAACTCTAATCTGAAAAATGCTTGTTGTAAAGGAAAAACGTACAAATTTTGTATATATTTTTCTTAAACATGTGAGCTATATTTTTGACAAAATTTCTGCTAATTGTATCTTTTCTAATACAGTATTAGTAGTTGCAAATATTTCCAACAGTTTTCCATAAAAAGGAAACTATTTTAAGACTAACTAGGGGATGTGTGGATAGTAGGGAGAGGGAAGGAGAAAAGGAAGGAAGGATGGAAATCTATCAATATATAAATACTTTTTTACTTTTTTTAAAATTTATTTTAAAAATAAAAGAAGGAAACATATTAACAAACAGACATTCATTTGCAAAATAGCATAACAACAATATAAACAAAACAGAGTTACAGACAAGGTTGTAGGAAATTAGCAATGGCTGTTGTATTACATATTGATATCTTCAAAGTGGTTCCTCAGGAAAACAAACAAATAGAGACATACAAGGGCTGGGGATTTAGCTCAGCGGCAAAAGCGCCTGCCTGGCAAGCGCAAGGTCGTGAGTTCGGTTCTCGGTACCGGAGAAAAACCAAAAAAAAAATAGAGACATACAAGATGGATCAAACAAGTAATCATTAATTATTCCTTTCTGTAAAGAAATAGAAGACAGGAGTACAACTACTTTAGCTATCCAGTACATACATACATACATAATTTCCCCTTCTTTCCCTTCTCTTTTCTCACACCCCAGTTGCTCTTTACATTTGAGCATTTTCCTTTAGTTTCACAATGTCTATCATACCTCCTAGTTTTTATTCACTCTTTCAGGTTCTTACACTAGTGAGACTATATGATGCTTACACATGCAGATCTGATGTATTTCACTTATGAGTATGGTCTCTAGCTGTGACCATTTACCTATAAAAGCCTTGAGTTTATCTTTCTTTATAGCTCAGTAATATTCCACTCATAAAAGTACCACAATTTTTTTATCCAGTCCTCAGTGGATGGACATTTGGTTGCTTCCACAACTTAGCAATTACAAATTGCACTGCTATGAACGTAGGTGCGCATATATCACTGTGATATGATGTTTTCAGATCTTCTGGGAAAATACACAGAAGGGGAATAGCTGGGTTGAATGGGACTTCTAGTTCTAGTTTGCTGAGGAATCTCCAAACTGATTTCCACAGAGGTTTCACCAGTCTGCATTCCAACCAGCAGTGGAGAAGAGCTCCTATTTCTCCACAGCCTCACCAGCATTTGTTATTGGTTGATTTCTTAATGATAGCCATTCTTCTTGGGGTGAGATGAAATCTCAATGCTGTTTTCATTTGCATTTCTCAAATGACTAATGATGTTGAACATTGTCTCATGTATTTATTTACCACTTGTATTTCCTTATATGAGAAGCATGTATTCATCTCAGCGGCCCATTTTTGGACTGGGTCTTTGAATTTGAGCAGGGGGAGCTGATGTTTTTTAATTCTTTATGTGTTCTAGATAGAAGACCTTTGTCCAAGGGACAGTCAGCTAAAATTTTTTCCAAGTTTGTGGGTTTTCTTTTTACTCTGCTGGTGATTTCTTTAGATGTGCAGAAACTTTTCAGTAGGATGAGATCCCAGTTATTGATTCTTTCAAGTGTTTCACA